GGTGTGTAGCTCAGTGAAGGTGTGTAGGTTTGTGAAGGTGTGTAGGTATTTGTCGGTGTGTACGTCTGAGGCAGAGAGAAAGCTTGTGTAGTTGGTGGGAGGCTCTGGGAGCTCGTGAACGGCTGTGCCTGTGCAAAGCGCTGAGATTCTGTGGTGGGGCTGAACAGGGACGGTGATGGCGGTGGAGGAAACCCATTATTTTCATCAGATTTTTCAGGGGCGGCCCCAGAAACTCCAAGATCGTAGTGCCGTTTCCTCAGCTCGCCAAGACGAATTCTCTGCTGCTCCAGCTGGCTCTCAAGTTGCAGGACCTTCACCTGAACAATTCAAAGTGCACAAGATGTTTGTCAGACCCACATTAACGTTGATTAAACCTGGCGTTCAAACACTCAGGTTTCAGACAGGGTCCGAACCTTTCTGAATCATCAGGTGGTCTTACCTGAGCCTCCATTTCCTCTTTCTTCAGTTTAATCAGTGACATGCCAGAGAAGTCCATCAAACCTGCAAACATCAAACCATGTGTCATGACGAAGCAGCAAGAATCACTTAATACTTCAAAATTAAGGAGGATTAAAATGACTTGACATAATGAGAAATAAATTACCAGTAGTGATAAAAACATAGTTTTGTTATATCTGTCCAAAACCTTTCTAAACTTCAGTCACAAGTGTTCTTCTTCTCTCCCATCTTCTTTCAGCGTTCCCTCTTCAGGAACAACCAAAACATTGAGCTTACAAACCATTTCCCTCTTCAGGGTCTCCACAGAGAGTCCTCGTCCTCCATCTCACTCTGTCCTCTCTGTCCTCACTCCAACCACCTCCATGTCCTCTCTAACTGCAACCATATGTCTCCTCTTTGTCTTTTTCCTGGCAGCTGCATTTCTAACATCCTTCTACCAATATACCCATTGGGCAGCTGTGGCTGAGTGGTCGTCCTCCCATGCAAGAGTTGGGGGTTTGATTCCACCAGCAGTCACATGTTGAAGTGTTCCTGGACAAGACACTGAACCCCTCATAGCCTCTGATGAGTGTCCCATTGGTGTTTGAATGTGATAAAGCTCTGATCAGTCTTTGTAGTAGAGTTCTGTATGAATGGGTAGATGAGGGCACAGATTGTGTTGTAAAGAGCTTTGAGTATTTTGATAAGATATAAAAGTGATTTAAAAGTGCAGTCCATTTACCATCACTGTCCCTCCTCTGGACATGTCCAAACCATCTCAGTGTGGTCTCTCTAACTTCATCTCCCAGTTGTTCAACCTGTGCTGTACCTCTGATGATCTCATTCCTACCTTAGCCATCCTTGTCACTCCTAAGGAGAACCTCAAAATCTTCAGCTTTGCCACTACCATTTATGTCTTCTGTCTTTCACCACAGATCACAGTGTCATCTGCAAACATCATAGTCCACGGGGATTCCTGCCTGACCTCATCTGTTAGTCCCAAGTTGGCTACACTCACCAGAGCAAACAAGAAGGGGCTTAGAGCTGATCCTTGATGCACTCCACCTCCACCTTGAAGCTATCTGTCACTCCTACAGCACATCTCACCACTGTCCTGCTGTCCTCATGCATGTCCTGCTGTCCTCATACATGTCCTGCTGTCCTCATACATGTCCTGCTGTCCTCATACATGTCCTGATGTCCTCATAAATGTCCTGCTGTCCTCATGCATGTCCTGTACCAGTCTAACATATTTCTCTGCCACTCCAGATGTCCTCATGTAACACCACACCTCCTCCCTCAGCACCCTGTCAGATGTTTTTTCTAAATCTACAAAGACACAGTGGAGTTCTTTCTGACCCTCTCTGTTCTTCTCCATCATCATCCTCAAAAGCAAAGATGGCGTCTTTGTCAGATCCATCCAGAGCATCCAGTCAGATTTGTTACGTCTCAGACGTGTGCTAAACGCTGACAAAACCAAAGGGATGTTG